ACCATAACACATATTGAGAACATTTATAATATCAACACATGCTTATAATCACATCAACAAGCATACAAGGTAAATTAGAAAGTGGTTACCTCAAGTTCTTGACACAAGAACTAAAAGTAGGAGGATTCAAGACCCAAGAGCCCAAACCAAGCTCATTCTACAATAATAAATTGATAAACATATATTAATATAAAAAGACTAATTAATATAGCATTAAAAATAGTTTATTAACTAAATCCCCATAATTGGCTTATCTAAAAATTTATCCTTAGGAAAAATAATAATTCATCTATTCTTCCAAGTGACAATTCCTAATACTTCCCAACTCTATTTCTCTCATTCACATCATTAATAAGAATATTTCCTTTAAATCATCCAAAAGTCTCCAAAAAGTGTTTACTTTAACTCTTAGAAAAATAATCATGTACCATCTATGTTTCCAATCATTATTACAATCCTATTTCCTTCTTCCATTAATCATTTCCCATTCATTAGAATCAATAACTTATAATATTTCCCTCAATTTACTCCAAACACCCAATTTCCACTACTTAAAGTCTCTCCAATGAATCATCAACATTACTATTTCAACAACAATCCTCAAAGTTTAAGCATTGGATCCTCAATATAACCTCAAATGAACTCAACTAAGAGATAAATTTCGAAATTAATATCATTATTAATACAAATCACAATTTCCCAACCAAACCCTAACTTATATTGTCTCAAATCAATCATCCAACTAAAAATCTAAGTCATAAGGCTTCTATTCTAACCCCATAAGCTCCATTAATATCATCAAAATGAGTTAGAAACCTTAAAAATTAAAAACCTAACAAGTCCTAATAAACTTTATTTTCAGCCATAAACTTACAAAAATAAAAAAAAAAGCTAAATAAAAATAGTAGGATGAAAATGGCTTACCTAAATATCTTATATGTACCCAAGTAGAGCCCTTCCTTTCTCACACACTCAAACTACCTCTCGCACCCACTCATTGTCGCAGCGCGGCGTCGAAGTGGACCAGAGGAAAGAACGAAGCGGAAAGGGGAGGGGGAGAAGCATTTGAAAGTGGTTACACGTGAGCCCCACAAATAAAACGACATTGCCCCTGATTGTTTGTTTTTTTTTTATATATATATATATACACACACTAAAGGGGAGAGGGTCACGGGACTTACTCCCTTCCCTCTCCGGTAATAGTGGGTGGCCACGTGCCACCGACTTATTTTATAATATATATTACTTATTTAATTATTTTAATTATTTTTAAATTATTAATATTAGCTTTTTTTTTACATAACTTGATTTATTTTCTCTTTGTCCTGAAACTATGTAGTTTGTAACTTAAGTCATTAAGAATAAATTTTATTCTATATGACTCCTTACTCAAATAGTAACATACTTCTAATTACTATTAATTAATCACAACCATAACTCAAAATAATAATAAAAAGTCTGGAATGTTACAACTCTCCCCTCCTAAATAGGAATTTTGTCCTCAAAATTCAGTTTAGTAGGAATTCTACGTACCTAATTAAAAAGATGAGGATAAGATTGTTGCATCTTCTCTTCTGTTTCCCAAGTAGCATCACCGGGAGCCATACCCTTCCATATGACTTTCACAAGTTGAATTGTCTTATTTCTTAGTTGTTTCTCCTTCACATCGGCCATTCGCTCCGGTTCTGTCCGATAAGTCAAATTGTCACGGAGTTCAACCTCTTCAGGCTCAATGATGTGTGAGGGATCAGGTTGATACTTCTTCAATTGTGACATATGAAATACATTATGAACCCTATCTAGTTGTGGTGGCAATGTAATTTGGTATGCTGCTTCACCGACTCTTGCAAGAATCTCATATGGACCCATGAATCTTGGACTCAATTTCTTGGCTTTGATAGACCTTCCAATGCCTGTCATTGGAGTGACACGTAGAAATACATGATCACCAACACAAAATTCCAAAGGTCTCCGTCGTTTATCTACATAGCTCTTCTGTCTACTCTGAGCTGCCAACAACTTCTTTTTAATCATTTCAATCTTTTCTGTAGTGTGGTCAACGTAATCAGGGCCGATGATAGTTCTTTCACTCAATTCTGTCCAACACAACGGCGATCTGCACTTTCTGTCGTATAATGCCTCGTAAGGCGCCATCTGTATGCTCGAGTGATAGCTGTTATTATATGCAAACTCAGCTAATGGCAAGTGACTGTCCCAGCTACCCTTCAATTCAATGGCACATGCCCTCAACATGTCTTCTAAGGTTTGGATTGTCCTCTCTGTTTGTCCATCGGTTTGTGGATGATAAGCTGTACTATATTTCAATCTAGAACCCATAGCTTGGTGTAAGGCTCTCCAAAAACCTGACGTGAACCTTGGATCCCTATCAGAGATAATGCTCTCTGGCACACCATGCAATCTGACAATCTCCTTCACATATAATTGAGCATATTGTTCCATTGTATAAGTAGCTCGTATAGGCAAGAAATGAGCAGACTTGGTCAAACGATCAACAATCACCCAAATTGCATCATGATTACTAGGTGTCCTCGGTAGCCCCACAACAAAATCCATAGATATACTATCCCATTTCCATTTCGGTATCTCTAAAGTTTGAAGGAACCTTGGTGGCTTTTGATGCTCAATTTTGACCTTTTGGCAAGTCAAACAACGGGAGACAAATTCTGTCACGTCTTTCTTCATTCCAGGCCACCAATAGTTCTGCTTTAGATCATTGTACATCTTAGTGATTCCTGGATGTATGGTGTACCTACTTCGATGAGCTTCCTCTAAGATGTATCGCTTGGATTTTCCATCATTAGGGATACATACTCTCTCTTTGAATCTCAAAATTCCATCTTCGCCAACTTCAAAATCACTTACCTCTCCTTCTTCTAGTTCTTTCCTAACCTTCAATAAATAGTCATCCTCTAACTGTGCTATCTTGAGCTCCTTCCAGAATTCATTCTCAATCCGCATGGCTTGCAAGATTGTATCCGTATCAGCTAGCACATCAGTGTCCTTCACCCTTTCTAACAAATGGTTCTCATAGAGACTCAATTGAAATACATGAATAGCTTTTCTACTCAAAGCATCAGCGACAACATTCGCTTTACCAGGATGGTATTTCAATTGAAAGTCATAGTCTTTTAGAAACTCCATCCACCTTCTCTGTCGATTATTAAGCTCCTTTTGATCCACTAGATACTTCAAACTCTTATGGTCACTAAAAACATCAAATTGTGAACCATATAAGTAGTGTCTCCATATCTTCAATGCAAATACCACTGCTGCTAACTCTAAGTCATGAGTTGGGTAATTTTCCTCATGTGGTCTCAACTGTCTGGAAGCATAAGCAACAACCTTCCCTTCTTGCATTAATACACACCCTAAACCTTTTAAAGAAGCATCAGTGTAAAGGGTGTATGGCAATGCGGGATCAGGAATAACCAATATTGGTGCAGAAGTCAACTTCTTTTTCAACTCTTGAAAGGCGGCTTCACACTTCTCAGTCCAAATGAATGGTTGGTCTTTCTTGGTCAACTTAGTAAGTGGCATAGCCAACTGAGAGAATCCTTGTACGAACCTCCTATAGTAACCAGCTAGACCCAGGAAACTTCTCACTTCAGTCACTGACTTCGGTTGTTCCCACTTAAGAACTGCATCAACTTTTGTAGGGTCCACTACAACCCCTTCAGCTGAAACCACATGCCCCAGAAACTTTACCTCCTTAAGCCAAAAATCGCACTTGCTCAATTTAGCATAGAGCTTATGCTCCCTCAATACTTGCAACACTATTCTAAGGTGCTCATGGTGTTCTTCTTTGTTCTGTGAGTAGATGAGAATGTCATCTATAAACACCACCACAAACTTATCCAAATAGGGTCTGAAGATTCTGTTCATATAATCCATGAATGCAGCCGGGGCATTAGTTAAGCCAAATGGCATCACAAGAAACTCATAGTGACCGTATCGAGTACGAAAAGCAGTCTTAGGAACATCTTCTGCTTTAACTCTTAACTGATGGTATCCCGACCTCAAGTCAATCTTAGAGAATACTGCTGACCCCACCAACTGATCTAACAGATCATCAATTCTTGGTAGTGGGTATTTATTCTTGATGGTGACTTTGTTTAATTGTCGATAATCAATACATAACCGCAAGGTTCCATCCTTTTTCTTCACAAATAGCACCGGTGATCCCCATGGCGACACACTTGGTCTGATAAATCCTTTCTCAAGTAACTCTTCAAGCTGCTTCTTTAGTTCTGCCAATTCAGCAGGAGCCATTCGATAGGGAGCCTTAGAGATAGGCTCTGTCCCGGGGGCAAATCAATAGAAAACTCTACTTCCCGCTCAGGGGGTAATCCTGACACTTCTTTAGGAAACACCTCAAGAAACTCATTCACAATCTCAATTTCATCAATCCCTTCTTCTATCTCAGCTTGCACAGAAAAGAAGACCATAAAGGCTTGACATCCTTGCTTTATACAACTTTCAACTTGAACAGCTGATAATAGAGGAGGGCTACTAGGCACCTCAATAGGCATGCAATACATAGGCAAAGAAACAGTTTTTGCTTTACAATCAAGCGTGGCACTATTAGCTGTTAGCCAATCCATACCCACATTCACATCAAGACCCTTAAGGGGCAAACAAATCAAATCAATCTTTGTCTTGTGACTCTCAAACTCCAACACAAGATTCAAGCATGCATTTGAAGTTTTTACAGAAGATCCAGCAGGTGTCAAAACATTCATATCAAAAGGCAAATCATAAACATGCAAGTTCAGTCGCTTAGCATATTCAAAAGCAATAAAAGAATGTGTAGCACCAGAGTCAAATAATGCATGTATACTGTGACCTTGGAGAGAAATGATACCTCTAATCAGGTTAGGAGACGCACCGGCCTCCTCTTGAGTCAACGCAAACACACAACCGGGAATGGTAGATCGGGTCTCCAGTGTACTCTATTTGTTTGCAGTGCAATAGCGAGAAATATGTCCAACCTTGCCACAAGTAAAGCAAGTCCAACACTTGCCTTGATGATGCTTGCCACACTTAGAACATGCTGGAGAACGTGCGGTGCTGGGTGCAGAAACAGTAGAGCCTCTGAATGATGATTGGCTCCCACTAGCATTACCCCTTGGAAGTGGGGGCCTCTGTGACTGTCTGTTCTGGAAGCGACTCTTCTTGCTAGAGCTTCCTGGATTGAACCCACTCTTCTTGCCAATTCCACCACTAGGCCTCATAAAGGAAGAGAAACAGCCCTGGGAATCCCTCTTTGGCTCAATTTCATAGCCATAACCCTTAATCTCAGCATCAAGGAGACGAAGTCGAGTACACATGTCATCAAAAGAATCAATCTGGAGTGGCACTAGCTGTCGTCTAAACTCCGGTCTAGCCTTTTGTAACAACTTGTCTGCCATCCACTTGCTATTCTTTTCAGATTGTCCATAAGCAGTATATTTAATCAACTCTAGAAATTTAGCAATGAAAGCATCCACATCCATGTCGTCTTGCTGAAAAGCATAGAACTCTGTCTCCTTCAGTGATTGGAGGGCTGAAGGAAAATAGTGCTGAAAGATGTCACACCATACTTATATAATACCTTAGCATTCATTTAGAACCATTCCAGACCATATTGGATGGTCTTACACTTAAAAATTTCAATTTGGACGTTAATTTTCGGAAAATTACTGTTCACTGTCAAGTTTTCAGATTACAGGTCCAACTTTGAAAAGTCATAACTAATTCTAGAAAAATCGTATGGAGGTGTTCCAAAATTCTACAGAAAGCTTTTTCAATGCTCTTTAAGGGAAAAATATTCAACTGAACTCATCCTCACTGAAAACGTACAGTTTATTGGATTAAAATTACTATTCATTTGGTAAAATCTGGACTTTCCAGATTCTGCGCCTTAACTTTGATAACTCATATCTCTTCATATACACATCCAAATGATGTGATTTACCACTCATTTTAAAGCTTGGGATATGCACTATAAGTCTACCAAATCTCGTGATTTAAATCATTCATTTGATAGGTCAAACTGAAGCTTGAAACTAACTGCTCCAGGACCTACGTTTTATCCTTTAATATCTCCTTACTTTAATTCTTTTTATTTCTTTGACATACATAGCATGGGCTTAATCTTTCTCATTCATACTCATATACTTTCATTCATGCCATAAACATCCTAAGCATATACATTGAAGTAATGGCATTCATAACATAATTTACAGCATAGGAGAATTATACATTGAATATTAATATCATTCATTTGCCTTAATAATTCTCCACTTCTTCTCCTTGCTTCTCATGCCATTAGTGCCCATCATTGATTGACCTAAATGGTTGGTTAGGAAGGGGGTGAGATTCGGGGGAATCTCAGTAGCAAACAATACCATATTAATCATGCTAAATGGATGCTCATGCACTACACGCAACTTGTTTATTCTCTTTTTAATTAGTGACATACTAGCATGCTCAAAGCTAACTTCTTGATGCATGGCCATGGAGACATAATCTACTCATCATGAATAGCAATTACAGCAGCTAAAACATGTCACAACAACATGCAAATAACATGTACACGGCAACACACAAGCATACAACATCAAGCAATGACAATAGGTAAGTTCACTACCTTGCACCTCAAGCCTTCCTCTTACTTTTCCTTTGACTCCCTTGACTTTCCAACCATGTGGGCATTCGGTCAACATCACTAAACATCCTCTTGGATGTTTCAAGGGTCCTAAACATAACCATAATGATCATACAATCTATTAGGACCACTAGATTACATAAAGTTCAAAGCTAGCTCTCTTGAACCTCAACCCTTTCTCTTAGTCTTAGGGTTTTCTTTCTAGCTTTTCTAACATAAATCTCATCATTTCCCATCCTTATGATCCATTTCTTGTCAATTAGGACCACTTTAGATGGCTTTAGATTCAAGAATATCAAATCTGGAAATTTTGGTTCGCGGGTACTGTTCACGCAGAATCTCCAGAATTTTTGCTCAACTTTGAAAATTCATAATTAAATATAGAAAACTCAAAATTGAGTGCTTCCAAGTCTCACTGAAAGCTAATTAAGTTAAATTTCAATGAAAAATAGTTTCAGGAACCAATTCTACGCGGAACAGTACCATAATTGTATGGAACTCGACAATCTCCTAAAAGTTCAACACTGTTTCCAGATTTCAAACCCTAAATTTGAAAAATCACCATAAATCGTACACATATCCAAATGGAGTGTTCTACCCATGGATTTAAAGCTCACAGAGTGTACTTTAAGCATGAAAAATTTCAGAATCAAATACGCACAGTAACTAATTCGAAATAGGTATCAAATCAGATGCTACAGCCACCACATACCTTGATCTTGAAGCTTGAACTTTGTTCCTTCTTCTTGGCCTTCACCCCTACGTTTTTCTCTCTAAATTTTGGCAGAGTTTTCCCTCTTAAACTCATGTTGGCTGAAAATATGAAGGGGAAGAGGCTCTATTTATAGCCAAAAAAGTTGGCTTGAATGGACCAAAATGCCCTTGGTGGCTAATAGAAAGGGTAAGGGCAAATTTGGAAGTTCAAGTGGACTTTTGCATCATCATTGCATCATCTTATTACATCATGCTTACCTCAACCTTCTAGAAGATGCCAAGTGTCATGAAAGTGGTGGAGGAGATGGGAGATTAGATCCTAGCCGTTGGATCAAACTTCTTTCATAAGCTTCCTCCGAATTTACTTGGCCCACGTTTCTCCGGCTTTCTTTATGGCCTTTCGGAGCTCAGAAAATTGTTCTTCCTGCTTTATAAATTCCCTTTAATTCTAGATAATATCTATGAATTTTCTTAGGCCATAACACTTCCTTTAAACCTTGCATAAAAATTCATTTACCAAAATACCCTTTTATCGGCAAAACCGACTCTTTAATTTATTAAAGCCACTCTACTGGCCTTTTGGTTGCGAGACTAATTTTATAAATTAGTACAACCTTTCAACCCTTTAACCTCATTTTTGTATACACTTTTGAGGTCTCTTGCTATTTCAAATAATTACCTCAAACGGTATACTTTTTACCGGTCACAACCTCATAAATTCCATTTAAGCTGCCTCAGGGGTATTTTCATCTTTTCTCTTCATAGAACAGTCTTAGAATATTATTTCCCATTTTTTTGGGATTTTCTTGGAATTTTCTGTACACTCTTCCATTTTTGCCCTTGCTGGTCATAACTTTTTGAATTTACGGTTTTACCCCTGCTTAAGCCTAACCTCATAGAACCATCTCTTTGAGGTTTCTAACTTACCCATTGGCCGGTATCTAGCCTCTTTTCTCTTTTTGGGCCTTCGAGACTTTACTGGAGCCTCTAACCTTAATTATACTCAAGCCCCTGAAAACTTTTTCTTTGCAGTTTAGTCCCTGAAACTGCTTTAACTTCCTTTCTCGTCTTTGGGACTTCTGCTCACAGGGGTCTGATAGCCTATCTAATTCAGGCTATTACTGGTACTTCTAGGCCTAAAACTTTGGATGTTACAAAAGAACATCTCCTTAAACACCTCCCATGTAGGGAAAGTGCCATCAGATGGTCTAACACTCTCCCACCATCTCTTAGCAGCATCAACAAGTTGTACAACTGCCACTTGCACCCTTTAACGTGAGGTGCATGGGACCAAAGTGAAGATAGTTTCCAAACGATCGATCCAAGCTTCACTCTTAGAAGGATTAAAGTTGCCATTAAATGTTGGCGGATCACACCTATTGAAATTCCTCCATACATCACTAATAGGTTGCTCCTTCTTCTGTTTATGCTGACTGTTATCCCCAGTTTCCATAACAGTGTGGTGACCTTCTTCAGAATGATGGCCACTTGATTCATTAGCATTGATATGCCCATTTTCTTGGACAGGCTCCTCATCTTGTCTCATTTCATTCAGCTGTTGCTCATGTCTCTGAACTTGCTGACTGATTTGGACTACCAATGTCCTTAGCTCCCTTAAGAATGCTTCATTGTCCAGGGGCTCTTGAGGTTGGTCCGGGTTGCTATTATTATTAGCCGGTTGTGTCCTACGTGTATCTACCATCTCTCCCCTCCTAAAGGACGCAACCAACCAGGAAACGATAAGGCTTTAAGAAACTTAGAAAAAGTCTAATAATAAAGGGGAAGCACATGTATGATCAATGTATATTGCCAATGCAACTATATGCCAAAATGAAAATGAAACAAGAAAACCAGAAAACATGAGGCTCTGGATACCAAGTTTGTAACAACCCCCGTAATTCATGGTAAATAAACATTTTCAAAAGGATAATTGCTTTAAAAGGCTAACCATGGTAGGAAGGATAAACATAATCAAATAGAAATCTACCATAGTCAATAACAAACCAAATCTTTAACAGAGTAGTAGCTACTGTTCTAGAATAGTAAAGATAGTTAATCAAATAAGAAAGGATCAACATTTGATTTTTCAGGTATATATCAAATCCATCAACAATACTCTGGGATCTCAAATACAATTAAGACCAATTGTAAATAGGCTAGGGCATTTGAAGTCTACCAAAACAACTACCACTGCTGCCCATTATCAAGTGCAATCAAAACAACAATCACATATGTCCAAAACGGGCTCCGCCCAATAATACAAGTCTAGAATGCAGCGGAAAGGCTATGATAATGTTAACTAAAACAAAAAGGCCCTAAAGTTTGGTAATATACATCAGTCAAATCATGTATATCAAAATAGAGGCTATACAGAGTGGAAAGGAAAACTCAAGCCTCGGACACCTTCCCCTTGGGACCAACACCTGAACCCTCGCCTGAAAAATGTTAAATAACCACGGGGTGAGTCAAATTGACCCAGTAACCACAATTCTCAACAAGTATCCAGGGAGTGATTACAAGATAGCTAAGCGGGCAAAGTACAACTTCAAATAATATATAAGTTAAACATCTTTACAGAAAACAATATATAATAATTCAGAAAGTAATTTGCATGCATAGAACTTCATCAACCATCCTTATAACTTCCTTGTAACCTCTGACAGAACCCATGGGCTATTCACACATAACAGGATTCATCTCTTTTACAAGACTGCACCAAGCTCTCCAATAATGAGGTGTAACTCGGCCAAAAGTTACAGACCTCATATCGGACCATGGGTTCCCTTTCCTTGGAATATGGAAAGGTGTCATGTCCCTTGGGCTGACCCTTGACCCGGCCAAAGGAAGGGTGATACTGAGGGCCCTAAGAATGTTAATGCCAACCACTGGGCGCCAAGTGGCGGCTATACCACGTGGTATAAATAATCAGACCTCCCACAACTACATTTCAGCACAACCAACACAACCCAATCCAACCATCCAATTCTACACAATTTCATATCCATAAAGTATTCTCATATTCAATAATCAATTTGTTCAACATCAACAAGATATTCATAAGATGAAATAATTCATGCCCACTTAACTAATAAATTTATCAAAACTTAAATCTTAATATAGATATATAAATTACTTTTCATACAGAAACCACCATAACACATATTGAGAACATTTATAATATCAACACATGCTTATAATCACATCAACAAGCATACAAGGTAAATTAGAAAGTGGTTACCTCAAGTTCTTGACACAAGAACTAAAAGTAGGAGGATTCAAGACCCAAGAGCCCAAACCAAGCTCACTCTACAATAATAAATTGATAAACATATATTAATATAAAAAGACTAATTAATATAGCATTAAAAATAGTTTATTAACTAAATCCCCATAATTGGCTTATCTAAAAATTTATCCTTAGGAAAAATAATAATTCATCTATTCTTCCAAGTGACAATTCCTAATACTTCCCAACTCTATTTCTCTCATTCACATCATTAATAAGAATATTTCCTTTAAATCATCCAAAAGTCTCCAAAAAGTGTTTACTTTAACTCTTAGAAAAATAATCATGTACCATCTATGCTTCCAATCATTATTACAATCCTATTTCCTTCTTCCATTAATCATTTCCCATTCATTAGAATCAATAACTTATAATATTTCCCTCAATTTACTCCAAACACCCAATTTCCACTACTTAAAGTCTCTCCAATGAATCATCAACATTACTATTTCAACAACAATCCTCAAAGTTTAAGCATTGGATCCTCAATATAACCTCAAATGAACTCAACTAAGAGATAAATTTCGAAATTAATATCATTATTAATACAAATCACAATTTCCCAACCAAACCCTAACTTATATTGTCTCAAATCAATCATCCAACTAAAAATCTAAGTCATAAGGCTTCTATTCTAACCCCATAAACTCCATTAATATCATCAAAATGAGTTAAAAACCTTAAAAATTAAAAACCTAACAAGTCCTAATAAACTTTATTTTCAGCCATAAACTTACAAAAATAAAAAGAAAAAGCTAAATAAAAATAGTAGGATGAAAATGGCTTACCTAAATATCTTATATGTACCCAAGTAGAGCCCTTCCTTTCTCACACACTCAAACTACCTCTCGCACCCACTCATTGTCGCAGCGCGGCATCAAAGTGGACCAGAGGAAAGAACGAAGCGGAAAGGGGAGGGGGAGAAGCATTTGAAAGTGGTTACACGTGAGCCCCACAAATAAAACGACATTGCCCCTGATTGTTTGTTTTATATATATATATATATATATATACACACACACACTAAAGGGGAGAGGGTCACGGGACTTACTCCCTTCCCTCTCCGGTAATAGTGGGTGGCCACGTGCCACCGACTTATTTTATAATATATATTACTTATTTAATTATTTTAATTATTTTTAAATTATTAATATTAGCTTTTTTTTTTTTACATAACTTGATTTATTTTCTCTTTGTCCTGAAACTATGTAGTTTGTAACTTAAGTTATTAGGAATAAATTTTATTCTATATGACTCCTTACTCAAATAGTAACATACTTCTAATTACTATTAATTAACCACAACCATAACTCAAAATAATAATAAAAAGTCTGGAATGTTACATCAAACCCCACCACCCCCCAAAATAATACATAAACGCATATATATATATATATCACATAAAAATGTCCCGTCAATCATAAATAATGTTTTTTTTAACTAATTCGTAGGATAAATATAGTTAAGATAATTATTTATAATTAATGTGCAAAGAATTTGTGACACTTCCAAAAATACCACTGCTATTTAATTATTAAAATTTAATGCAGATGTAAAAATGCCCCCAATAAATAGGAACAAGAACATTATGGTTTATATGATATTAATATAGGTCCTCTTGATCCAAAAAAAAAAATATAGGTCCTTTTCTTCTGAAATGGACGTGATATTTAAGATCGGAAAGGACAATAATTATGAGACTAATTATTTATGACTTTTAAATAGTTTCGTATTCTAACCCCCAAAGATATATTGATGATGATCCAATTTGCGTGAATGGTTGAAATAAAGCAACAATAAAAATTATATGGCCCCTTTATGCATATATCCATAAATTAATATAATTTTCAAAGAGAATGCAAAAATTAGTCTGCCATATATAATAGTCCATTCTATTATTTGTCTAGTATATCGAATATGTGGATTTTCTGATGTTGGAAGATTAGTTAAGTTGGCAAAACTTATCAAATTCAAAAAGAAGGAAATATTAAAAAATGCTTAAGTGAAAGCAAACTTCAAGAACATAACGAATCCTCCTCGTACTATAAATACCAAACACACATCTTTTAATTCAAACCATATTATCAATAATAACAATTCAATTTAAAATTTCCATATGGCTCGTTTCAGTACTCTTCAATTTCCATTTTATTTCTATCGTTTCATCGCTCTTGGAGGTTTTATCTTGTTCTTCCTTAAAGTATTGAGTCCTTCCTCATTGCTCAACCCTAGAATGTTTCTCAATTCTTCACACCCCACAGCTGATTCAGAGTGGTCGTTAGCAGATGCTACGTGGTATGGAAGCCCCAACGGCGCTGGAAGTGATGGTACGACAGCACGCCCACATATATGTGCACATTACATTTGGTTCTAAAAATAGGATCTAGTTTGTAGTATAATTTGCACTATAAACTAGATCTTATGTTTAGGACCAAAGGTAGTATACATATAATTACAAAAAAAAAAAAAATAGTCTAAACCCAATTATTTCTTTTCCTCAATGAAATTAAAACACTCTAAACCTAATTTCTATTTGAGCATAGGGGGTGCTTGTGGATATGGCAGTGATGTAGAAAAAGCTCCTTTTTCTTCGATGATAGCAGCTGGAGGCCCACCAATATATAACTCAGGCAATGGCTGTGGATCTTGTTATCAGGTGCCAAAACATATACTTCCTCTGATTCTAAAGATGGAAGAGATTGCTAACTATAATTTACATAAATTGGAAAAATTAGTTAAATTAGTTTTTTGTAAAAAAATATGTATTGGTTTTTCTAAGATATCTGATCTCCTTTAATCATTTGTAATAGAAATTACCTTGTACGATGACCCTTCTTTAGTATATTCAATTAATATAGATAATTTGAAAAAAAAATTACCAATTTCGAAAATAAAATTGATTGGAGTTTTACACTTAAGACCAAAACAAACATCTAAATTAACTCTACTACATTATTTAACATCTAAGGAAGTGTAATGCATGATGATTTTAGCATCACAAGTTATATATGCATAAAAATACTCTCTTATAAAATATATATAGTTTAAAAATATTATCATATATAATATTAATCAAATCATTATCTAAAGTTCAAGGTAACTCATTTTCTAAAGTTCAGTTGAATAAATCAAACCATTTTATGAAATTTAAGTTTTTTAAAAAAGTAATAATAACTAAATATTTGTAATATCATTATTAATAATATAAAAAATATCATATTATCATCATATGAATAATTTAAAAAAAAAAAAAGAGTCTTAATGGTCACTCTATTTGGGCCCTTAGCCCATTAGGTATAGCCCTTTTAGGTCCGTTTCTAATTTGAAGGTTGAAATCATGAGTCCAGTCCTTACAATTTTTGGGCATAAACGGGTTAGTCTGACAGGCCCAACTCATTTTTCCATATCTATTCATGTGGTTAATACATGATCATTTGGATTCATTGTAAAGGTGAAGTGCACATCTAATCCAGCATGTTCAGGTAGTCCAGTGGGCATAGTTATCAGTGATGAATGTCCAGGGTGTGGCTCTACTCACTTTGATTTGAGTGGCACAGCTTTTGGTGCTTTGGCTATTTCTGGCCAAGATGATCAGCTACGCAATGTTGGCAAGCTCCAGATTCAATATAAAAGGTAGCTTTTGCATGCTTATTCACAGTTATCGACATTTTATAGACAATATGCTTTATCTTTTATCATATGATTGATATTATCATTTATAAATTTTAAGTTGTATTCTTCCAAATTTTTTACATCCATCATCCATGTATAATTCAAAATTTATATTAATTTCACAAATGGTAAATAATTTAATTTATTTTCCAAGATCCCTGTATGGAGAACTTGTCTGGATACTATTATTTGATAAATGAAATCCATAAGAAATTTCTTTATCCCGATTGATGATTTAATTATTGTTTTGTTCAATTAAATGATATTACATTCTACTACATAAGCGAAAGGGATTATATTTGCTGAATTCTACTAGTTTTAACTGATATATAGGAGAGAGGTTTTTCTTTTTTGTAAGAAGTTTTTATTATATCAGTGTGATCTAATATTTAAAAAAAAAAACATAGCACTATTTTTGTTCCTTTTTATTCGGACATTAATCAGATTTAAAATCTGATTCTATTATAATTTGACAATTGATTAAATTAATATTGATTTACACTCATTTTAAATCTGTGACATCCTCGTTTTTTTAACATTACATCGCTAATTAAATTAAATGTTTTGTGCATGAATATGTACTTCATTGTTATTTTGCAGAATTCAGTGTAATTATGGAGGAAAATCAATAAAATTTGAAGTGGACGCTGGATCGAACCAATACTATTTTGCTGTGTTGGTAGAATATGTGAACGGAGATGGTGATCTTTCACTTGCTGAACTGAAGCAAGCTAACTTTGCACAATGGCAAGCCATGCAATTAAGTTCAGGTGCAACGTGGAAGCTTAACTCTGCCACAGCTCTTCAAGCTCCGTTCTCCATTAGATTAACCACCTTCAAGTCAAAGAAGACACTTGAGGCCGTCAATGTGATTCAAGAAGGGTGGAGTCCAGGACAAATTTTTCAATCTTCTGTGAATTTCTAATATTTGTATTATTAAGTAGCATGATTAAGATGTTATTATTGTAAAAAAAAATCTAATTACTTGTGTATATATGTCTTTATTTGAGTGGTTGTGATGTGTTTGGTTTGCTTTGAGAGGCCTAGCTAGCCCCGGTTGGTTTAGGTTTTTAATTGGGTCCCAGAGCCTCGTCTTTGTGATAAAGTTGTGGGTTTCCAATCTGGGGTGACCAAAATTCTTCATATATGGGAATGAAGTTTTAGGTGCGGCCTGTGTCTTGAGCTAGATGGATTGATATTGAAAGCTCATTCGTTGGTAAACTGGTGGAAACAGTGATTTAAGGATGAGTGATTTAATTGTGGTTCAGCCGAGGTTACCTCAATTATAATTTAAAATAATACTACCTCCGATCATTGATATAAGATTTTGTTTGACTTTTATTTTAGTTATAAATATTAGATCCCAATCCATTTTGTCTCTCATATTTATACTTTTTTTTTTCAAGATAGTCCTTCTAACAATGGTAATTCTAACCAATACACTTAATTAAAAAAGATATTTTAGGAAAGACAACACCTATTTATTACAAATAACTAAGTTAACTTCTTTCTTTAATTTCCTCAAATTAGTCAATTAGCTCTTATAATTAGGACAGGAGGTAGTATAATTTAATAAAAGATACAAGTATATTTAGATACAATCCTAAAAAGAGTAATGTTTAAATGAAAAAAACGTATTATCTCGTCGAAAAAATGCATTAACCATTCATGTATAAACTACATATAATTCAACAAAATAAATTATTTAAGTACAAATCTAATAAGCTGTTATTTTCTTTTCTTTTTTTTTTTTCTTAACTTGAAACAATGTTGTTTCAGGATTAGCAAGAAGAAATGTATAAAATCTAACTTGGTTAACTCACCCCAGTCCTACCAACCCATTAGAGGGCATAAAAAATTATTTGTGGACCTTTGAACCATGCAAATCAAATTTTTAGGGTGTTCAATTTGGAAGGTTGGAAAATACTGAATTCTGCATCAAATTTACATGCAGCAAAAATATATTTAGTTGCGGCCAAATTTCCTCTAAAATTAACCTTGGCGTTAGGTAGGTTCTTGCCACAATGAATGGCCCTTTCCAGAAGAGCGAAGGTTTGGTTGCCAATGGTGGTGAAGGGACTGGCACGAATTCCTTGTGCCATAACCAAACATGAGAAGCCATGGTTATCAGACCTCCTAAAGGCACCAACATCAACTCCAAATAATATTATTTTTTCCATTCTATATGACTTTAATTTATATCTCTTCCTAACTAGTTGCTTCTTTCTTTCTCCATCTCTCGCTTTTAATTTAGAGTTCAAGGCTCGTGTCTGTATTGGGCTGCTTCTGTGTTGATGAAGACAATAAGTGGATTCCCTAGAGATTCTAACTTGTACCTCTTGCATATGAATATAAACCTTGATGTCAATCTGGGTTTTTGGTTGGGTTCTCCATGGGTATTGTGTTTTAGCAAGTCAATCTTTTTATTTAAGGTAATTATTTTCCTTTAATGTCATTTCCTTCCCTTTTCTGTCTATTTGTTTTTCTTTCTCCTTTCTCCCACAAGGAATCACCTGTATACCATTAAGGAGGCCTTATTCCTTATCTCAGACTTTGAAACTTTATAGTGTTTGCTCTGCGTAATGCTTCTTTCTTCTTTTCTTATTCCCCACTATTACACCTCCTTCTCCGTCTTTTCCACAAAATTTGAATCGGACTTCTCTCTGTTAAGATTTTGGAGAAAAATGAGGCGTACTCTATCCCTCAATCTATATATATATAGAGAGAGAGGGGGGGGGGGAGGAGGGAGACGCACTATGGAACTCTGTATCAAAGTTTTCATTAAAATAGTAATAACCATAATTATATTTGGATCATCCAAGTCAAGTTAAAACAAATTAGATTTCGTTTCAAAGACAAGTTCACACTGTGTTCATCCTTGCATACATCCTCTGTTTTTTCTATACTTGAGCCAGAACACTCTTTATTCATCAAATTCATAAGCTAACTACAATCAGAGAGACCTTTTCTAGTAATTAGTACAGTAATTAAGTATGCTTTTCAAGTAACTACTACCATTAATTAAGTTCTTTCTTGGTCCCCCTCTTTAAAATTAGCACAGGGAGGCTCAAACAATGAAAATGCTCTGTAAGCTGAAATCACAGCTAAGATCAAGAAGCAACAAAGAGCCAAGAAATGGAGAATTATTGCCAACTTCACTTTGCTGCAAAATTTGCCATACGATTCACAAGCTTGGCTCCATGAAACCTCTCGATCCCCATTATAAGCTAGGTAATATATCTCCATTGCGGCTGCGACTGATGTAACCATCACATACGCTATAATCTGCAAGGACAAGAAAAAATCATTAGTTTCATTCAAGCTTAGATAATTAAGACTAGTTCTGTTAAATACTCTGCAGAATTAGGAAAAGGGTATCCAGAAAAACATGAAACCTGATCGGAGAGGAAGAAAATCCAAGCTTTAGAAACAGTACGTTTGATCCATGAGGAAACTGCTGCGATAAGAGCATAAATAGCAGAGATGAAACTCACACAAACCATATACCTGTAACAAGCAAATCGATCGAGTTGATATGATAAAGAGTACTGATAAGCTAATTTTGAAGGAGAAAAATGGCGATGAAGTGGGAAATCGTACTTGAGACCAGAGAGACTGGAATACTTGAGTTCTCCATAGTCGCTATTATCCTGCTGATTGGTAACAGTAACCCATATGGTTGCTACAGAGAGAGGCACTACACAGAGCCTAAGAGAAGAATCAAAGAGCTTAAGCATTGAACTGTGTGATTGAGCTAGCTATTCTCAATAGGAATGGGATAGATGGTTTCTTCAAATGAATAAGTAAAGTGAAGAAGTGTTGGTGTGATGATGATCGGGTTGGTTGGGGGGGATAAAGATGATTTTTTTTTTTGGTTAGTGGGGAAGGTAAGAATAGTGGGCATCGCCTTATTCAGAAAGAAATGATTGTACTTTCTTGTTGGCGTACATGGCGATGAGCTGTTTTGGCCCTTTTCTTTTTCTAAAAGTCAAAAAGAAACTTTATGTTCACATTTTGAATATTTCTGAAGTATCTCTGTATGAAATAATAGGTGAATTAATTTTATAAATAAATGAATATATAAATTTTACAATATTTTAAAAATTAATTGATGATACAATTTATTATTGAAAATGATATAGAAAATAGAAAAGTTTTTATTTGAATTAGAAAAAAGCTTGGAAACTTTTTCTAATATTATATGTTATATAAACGAAAATTATTACATGATGTTATGAAGGGTTCTTAAAGAACTAGTTGTAACACGCAGAAAAATATTCGTACATTATTGTTGTCTTTTGGCCTGAGTACGTTATTGTTGTTTTAATAAAATGAATTGGACAAAAAAGAAGAATGGATTTTTTTATTCGAGTATCCTCTATAAATATTTATTGAACAATTAATTCGAATAATTAACAATTAACAATTAAACTAATACAGTAAGGTAGAAAACAGCCCTCATGACTTGTGAGTATCAATTTTGGAAGTATTATTGTTTTCCAAAGAACCTCATGATCATGAAGCTGTATTACTGACGCAATACTCCGCTAAACTAGACCCCACTTTATTTTGTCTCTATTTCAAAACTAAAAATATAATTTGAGAGCCTGATTCAAGTATAATGTATATATTCAGATTAAAATACTAAAATCTGCAAATCAGTTTAAGAAATTTCAAACTGAAAAATGAATTTGAAAACTTTAATTATTTTTTATGTTCTTTAAAAATTTTACGAAATTTTAAAGTTAAATTTTTTATTATAATTATTATTCTTATTTTGTTAAAGTTTATACTAAGAAGTATACTATGGTACAAGAATAGTTTATTCCATAATTTTTTTTCCTTTCAAACCAATTTGTTTCTAAAATTGTAAGTATTTACTGAACTTACCCTTTCTGTTTGTTGTTTTGAACCGGCATTGAATTTTCATGTGAATCTACCACAATTCTCTCCGGTGTTCTATAAAGCCAATTGTCAATATTTATTACTCCCTCGAATTATAAATGTCGAAGCTAATAATTGAGAGGTTTATTTTAATTCTAAATATAATATCTCAATGGGCTTTATTTTTTCAAACTACACATATTGATTACACATATGAAACAATGGTTTTTATATAGGTTAACGTTTTGACAGCCAAGGAGTACCTTAAAACAAAAAAAAATGCATATTTTTATGTAATAAGTAATTCAACTAATTTATTTAATTTCTATAAATTAATTATTCAATTCTTACCTTTGGATCAAACGAGGGTATTAGAATTGAAACATATTTTGATGATAAGCGAGTGCTTGACAAAAGAATAAGAAGTCCCACTACTGCTTAAAAAAAAAAAATCCAAAACCTGCACAAATAGAAAAGTCATTAGGTGAGGAGGGAAAGAAAGCTAAGAGCAAATTTGTTTACATCAATTTCTTCAATTACCTATCCTAAAAAAATGACGACATTGAAAATAGGAAGAGATAGATTTGGGATTTTGAAGCAAGAAAATGAAAACAATGAGAGATTTAGAGGTATGCACGTTTTGAAATAATTAAGGAATACTCTAATAAGCTTCTTTGCATTGTCAACCAAGCAACACTTCTTAGCTGTGATTTTTCAAATTCTAGAATAGTTCAAAAGGTCCTTCTAAGATTGGACTACAATTGATAATATGAGTTGGACTTACAGGCCTAACCTGTCAAGTCAACAAAAGATTATTGGATTGGTAAAAGCAATCTTGTTCAAAAACAAGTCTATTTAGCCCGTACCCATTATTTTTGAGTTTGCAAATTAGTTTTTAGGTTAGTAGGCTAACCCATTTTATTTTATTTGTATTAATTCATATTCTAATCATCTCATAATCAAAGAAAAATCACCTAAAGTACCCCTAGGTCTTCAACTTCAAGTTGTAGTTTTTGCCTTCTAGTCTGATTCTCACTCATCTCACTATGACCTCAATTGAATGAGCCACCACACGTCATTATTGTCTTTCTCAGCTCTCCTCTACTTCTTGAAGTCTTGCCAGTTGTTGTTTGTAACATCCTAAATATTACTTAAAAAATAATATTATTAGTTAAAAAAATAATATAATATAATAATATTTTATTATTATAAAATAATAATATTTTTATATTAAAAAAAGGGGGAGAGACAACACGTTCAGCTTTCCACGCATTTAAAGAAGAAGAAATTGATGAAGTGGGACATTTATTGAAGAAGAAAAGAATAAAGAGGACAGTTGAAGTTTGAAGTTTAAATAGAGGAGGAGATGCATTAGCAGAAAAGAGAAAATGAGAGTGAGAGGTGCAGGAAGAGAGATCAGGAGAAAAGCATAGAAGTGCTAGCAGTTTGAAAGGTATTACAAGTTTTGGGGATCATATAGGTACATAAAAACACTTCTTTCTATTAAATTTTCTTTATAAATATTTCTTATATATTTAGAGCTTTATATTAGTAGTATTATTATAATGTTTAGAGAAAATTTTGTGATTTCGGTATGGAGTAAGTATTGGGTTTTGACAATATTTGACCATAGAAATTTAAGGATATATTAGTAAGAAATTTTGATCATTTTATATTTGTCTTTTTATTACTTTTGGTATTTAAAATTAAATTTATTTGTTGAAAAATCTGTCATTTATGATATATATCATATTTATACCGATTAAAACTAAATTAAATAATTTATTTGGGTTGTTTGATGTATTATTAAAATTTTAACCGGTTAATATTTGTTTATTGATTATTTTGAGAATTTTAAATTAAGATTTTAGTTGGAAAATGTATTGTTCAAGATATATAGAATTTTTTTACCGCTTATTTAAGTGAAACAACTTATTTGGGTTACTTAATATATTATTGATATTTTAATCAGTTTAAAAAGTGAAATAGGTTAAGGATATATTATTAGAAAAATTTTGAACTTGGAAACTCAAGTTGTAAATTGAGATTTTTACAATATTAGATAAAAACAATATTTTTAAAAAATATTTATAATTTAAATGAGTTATTTGGGTAGAGGAAAATTGTTATTCGAAGTAAGAATTTTTTGGGTAGTAAATATATGTATAAATATTAATAATAATAAATTCTATGTAATTTAAGTTAATTATTTGTATGTATATTAAATTGTATCTATATTATTTGTAGATTATTTTGTACTTCTGAGTCTGTAATTTGTGCTTTTATTTCTCAAGCTGTGAGGTTAAGCTTGGAGTAGAGGTAACCGGGGTTAATTTATTTTATATACATGCTTTGGATTGTAAGGTGTTTATTATGTTTTTATTTTCTCAAATTAATTTGTGAAAGTATGCTTGTGAATAAAGTATGTATTTTCTTATATGTCAAATTTTGGTGAAGTGGGAAGTATATCGATTTAATTATGCCTGAGTTGTGTTTTATTGAAAGTTATGTTTTCTTGTGATGTTGAATTTAATATACTAATATTATGTTATTAAATAAAATAAAAGTATGTTGTACTTTGTTTGAAATTATATCATTTTACTTTGAAGAACTATGAGATTTTCAGTATATATTGTGACTATGCATGGGGTTCATATATGAAGGTTGGGATTTTGTTATGTAGAGGATAATTTTCTTGAAGCCCGCACTGCATGCCTACACTATTGATCCTAGTGTTTGGTTTTTTTGTTAGACCCCTGTAGTTCTTCCTTTTCCTTGGCCCGGAATTGAAAATAAACTCTTGGGTAGACACCTCTTGTACCGTAGTCCATCCTTAGGCAGTGTAGGTACAGGAAGGGGCCTGTTGCTTGATGTGAGTGAGGTGATTTTTGGCCGGGTTGCTCAACATAGAAAGGTTGGGTCCTTGTCAAGGAGTCATAAGGAGGAGTAAGGTGATGTGAGGGCATATTTTATTGTGTTGTTACATACATGTACTTTTGTATGAATTGTGTTATGGATGGTGAGATACACTCCTTTTATGTGATTGTATCTATTAAAGTATCATTTATTACTTAAACTATATTTAAGCACTATTTCACCAACTTGCCATCCTACTTCTATATGTTATAAATTAATACTTGGTTACTGGGATTTTACGTCTCACCCACTATTCATCAATGCTTTTCAGGAGAGCCATATAGTTTGGCTCGGCGTGAAGGGAAGCAACCAGAGGCATAGGCAAGCATAGCCTAGCAGCCCTCTTTTGGTTTAGGCATGTAATGTTATGTATATTGCCATCTTAGGGACCACGACTTTGTTAACATATACTTTCTTTTTTTGGATGACTGTATTTGATGAAATGCTGTTAAAATGGCTGAAGGCTATTGATAGAACCCAATCTTTATATGATTTTCTCAAGGTTTTCTAATGTTTTGCAACAATTTTACCCTCATTATGCATGCATTTTTATCCATTTGATTACATTGAGTCATGCATTGCATTTTACTGTTTAAGGGGTAAAAATGGTCATTTTTCTCTCCTCAATCTTAATTGCCTTGATCTATAATCAGTTGGTCTTTACAGAGCTCTTTGTTGTGATTTTCAGGCAATTGGAGAAGAACCCAAGAACTAAGATGGAGCATGGATGGAGCCAAAATGTTACAAGGACCAAAACACGAGTTTGGAGTATTCTGCCTCCTTAGGTCGTGACATAGACTTCTAAGGTCATGACCTAGATGCCCTTTCAATAAACTACGCGTTTTGGACCTGAGTCAAGATGAAAGCTCTCTCTCTTCTCAAGTTGCGACATGAAACTTATGAGGTTGCGACCTGAACCACCTAAGTCACGACCAGACACTTCTAAGGTTGCGACCTAAATGCTTTAAGTGATGCTGTGTGTTTTGGAATAGGTTTCTGAGCTTCTACACCTAAGGGGGGTAGCCACCATGAACAGACATTCTCCCATTCTGTAGATTTGCAATAGGTTGAGCCACCATAATCTTCTCTCAAGCCTTCATTGATCCCACACCCAAAACTTCCATTTTTCTTCATGTCTTCATCATTTTTTACATTTCTAAACTGATCAAACTACTCCAACCACTTTATTCTCCATTTTTCCAACCTCACTTTGTAGCTTTAACTATGGCTGTTCATTCCTGGAGCGATTGCGATTGGTTTGAAGGCATGAGAGGCTAAACCCTTAGCCTCTTGGTGTTGGAAGACAAAGCTTGACCTCAAGGACTTAATCGGAGAGTTTTTCTATAGTTTAAACATGTGCTTAATGTTGTGTTGAATATTTTTAGATTTAGGAACTTTCTGCACTTGTATTAGACTTGGTTTATGATTGTAAATCTTGTGTTTAGACTATTCTATTGTATTTGGATTGGATGATATTAATGTTGATTAATCTATATAATATTTTAGTTTGAATCCTTGTGTTCAGTTTAATTTTCAGTGATCATTGTTGATTAATCTAGGTGTTTGTATTTTGTGTTTGTCCATTGACATTCTGAGGGCATTTGCATCATCCTTCCATTTACACTCTATGTGGTTTTCAACAGTGTTTTAAGAGATGTTAATTAACTTTAATTAAAGTGAGTTTTCATTAATTAAGACATTGGGTTCAAGTGATTACTTGGGGTTTTCTTCAGACTTAGAGCTTTCCTAAAACTCCCAATCATTTTAAAGAGCAGTGATAGCTGAGTTTTCATCATCAAGAGACTATTTAACCATAATCCCCTTTAAATCCAAAACATTTCTTCATGCATTCAAAAATATCAAAAATAGTTAATTTTCTGTACTTTTCATTTATTGCACCACCTTAAACACTTGAAACCCCCATTTTTCTTCACCCAAATTTACAATGCTTTTGATAACCAATCTAGACTAGGATTTTCAATAATAAGCTCCTTGAGAAGAATGACTGGTTACATTCTATACTGTATTTTTCTGGTGCAATTCACTTTCTTGACGATCCGAAAGGTAACAATCTGGCTTCGGTCAATGGTGCTGTTGCCGGGGAGCCATTAAATTGGTTCCCTAATAATTGGTTTTACTTACCATTGTGATTTAGGTCGATTCTTGTTGAGTTTTAGTTTTTAAACTTAGATCTTGCATTCTATAACATCAAAATTTTTGAGAAATAGAACTAAATATCTTGTTTTTCCATACATTTACATTTGTATTTGCATTTTTGCACAGTATTTTGCATTTTATTTTAGCTTGATCCTGAGTGTTTTAGCCAATGTCTTGAAGTTTTGAACTCTATGCATAGTTTGTTCAGCACTTGGTTGAATTACTTAGTGATTTCTTTTTTTCAAAGGTTTTATGAAAGTAGCTTTCTGTGACTTTGAGTCACGACCTCATAACTTTGAAGTTGCGACCTCCATGCTTAAGTTGCGACCTAACTTGTGGCTTGTCGCGACCTCAACCTTCTGTTTTCTAGTATTGTTCTCGGTCTTTTCAAGTCGCGACCTCGACTTTTTCAAGTCACGACCTCAATTCCTTTTCCTTTCACAGTTGCTTTCTGTGAACTCAAGTCGCGACCTAGATTACCTAAGTCGTGATCTGATCTGGTTTTTCACTGAAAAATTTTCTGAGTGTTCAGACTTACTCTTTTTGCACAGTTTTACTCCCTGCACATTAGTGTATGGCACTTTATACACCTCAAGCTCACTGAGTACTATTTGAAATCATTGAGTTTGCCTCAATTTTAAAGTACACACTTGGTAAATACATAGTTTTGAAACTACCTCTTTCTTGAACTCTTTCTGTGCTTGAATTTTTGAGTGATTGTGCATGCCTAGAGCACGTAAGGGTAGGAGAGGTAGATATACAGGAGCCTGTAGCCCACTTCTCTTACTAGACCTATCCCATTCATCTAGTAAGAGTAAGGAAGTAGAGAAAGAAATCATGGCTAAATTACCTCCTCATGGTCCAAACAGGGGGAATGGGAATGGTAATCATAATAGAACTAATAATGGTCGAAATGAGGGGCAAGGAGAAAATAACAGCCAGAATAGGCTTAATGAACAACCTAGGGGTAGAACCATTAAGGAGCTAACTCAATCTGATGGGAACTTTGAACCTATGCCTGGTGCTTTTCCTACTTTTAATCCAGATTTTGAAATTAAAGGTCAATTGATCCACTAATTGCCAAAGTTCCATGGTCTTGCAGGAGAAAACCCATACTTACACCTCCGGACTCTTTATATGCAGTGCTTGTCCATGGAGCCAGTAGGAGCAAGTATTGATGACGTTATGTAGAAGGTTTTTCACTTATCTTTAGAGAGTAAAGCTAAAGAATAGTACATGAACCTGCCGCTCTACGTAGATAATGCTTATGAGTCATGGACCAATTTGAAGAAAGCATTCTTGGATAAGTATTTCCCCTCTATAAAGATTTCAGTTGACTGCAAGGAAATTTCGGTAGCTAAGCAAGAACCATTCGAAACATTCTTTGAATTTTGGAACAGGTTCCAAGAGATGCTTACCTGGTGCCCTAACCATCAGATTCTTGAGGAGTACTTGGTACAATATTTCTACAATGGGTTGTCGACATATAATGCATAAGTCTTGGATGCCACTGCAAACAGGTCTGTAGAAAATATGGAACTAAGGGCTGCATGGGAGTTAATAAAGACCTTTGCTCTTAATAGACAACATGTGAGCTCAAGGGATTCAATGGACCCCAAGATCCACTTTTGGTAAAGCTAGCCCAAGACATGTCTAAGCTTGCAAGTATAGTTGAAAGCCTCTGCTCTAATAAGCCTCAATCTCTTGCTCTAGAATCTACAAGCTGTGCAGTTTGTGACTCCCTGATGCACACAATTTGAAATTGCCTTAGGCTGTTAGAAGTGGTCAATGCAATGTACTAAGAAAGATATGGGCAACATTAGAAGAGAGACCCCTACTCAAACACTTATAACCCCAGTTGGAGAGATCATCCAAATTTTAAATGGGGAGGCAAAGCAAATAGGCCCAATCAATTCCAAGAAAATTAGTTCCACAATATCGGGGCCTCTTTAAGCAACTTTCAAGATTCCTCAAGAGCTGTAGTGACAACACCGCCCAACACGATGGTGTCTCAAACACAAAGAGGGGATGACACTTCTTAACTTTTAAAGAGCATGGCAGCCCAGATCACAAACATTGAGGGGCGAATGAAGGAGAGTGAAGATAAGTTCGTCTCCATAACTACTATCTTGCAAGGAATGTAAAAGGATAATTCGGATGTTCACAAAAAACTGGAGGAGCTCACCTTGAAGAATGTTGACATCACTAGTCATTTAACCCAACTGTCCAATATAGTCAATGATATGTAAGCTAAGAGTGGGGGTAGTATTCCTTCCAACACAGTGATCAATCCAAAAGCTCTTAATGCGATATTCTTAAGAAGTGGTAGAAAGGTCCACTTTGAGGATGAAAGGGTAGACAAAGATGCATCTGAGCAAGAAATAGAGAGTTCTTAACTTACCTCTATGAAGTTGGGCAAATATGAAAGTTCCAAGAAGGAGGAACTTCTTAGGAGAAAGAGATCCTAAGAAAGTAAAGATGCATAAGAAGAGGAGAACCCTATGGAAGGGTCAAAATGTAAGGGCAAACAAAGGAAAAACAAAGCGGGAATAAGTACTCATAGAGCCTTGAGCAATGAGGGTAAGAAGGTAAATCTTAATAAACTCTCTTTTCCTCAATCTTACTTGCAAGGTATGAAAATTGCTAATGAAAAACAAGATAATGAGTTGCTTGAAACTTTTAAAATAGATGAAGTAACTATACCCTTGCTTGAACTGATTAAAAAGATCCCTAAGTATGCCAAAGTTTTAAAAGAGTTGTGCACACATAAGAGGAAGTTTAAACCTAATGAACGAGTCCAGTTACCCTCTAATGTGTCTACTTTGTTTAAACCACAACTCCTAATCAAATGTCATGACCCTGGTTCCTTCACTATACCTTGTACTGTAGGTAAGACAACTATTCCTAAGGCTTTACTTGATTTAGGTGCTTCCATTAATGTTATGCCTAGGTCAATGTATGAGTCCTTACAAATTAAAAGTCTTAAACCTACCACTATGATGCTCCAGTTAGCTGATAGGACTATAAGGTACCCATACAACTTCTTAGAGGATATCCTAGTGAAAGTCAAAGACTTAGTTATCCCTGCTGATTTTTATGTCTTGGATATGCCTAATGGACAAGGTGGGGATGGGACCTTAATTTTGGGTAGACCCTTTTTAAGAACTGCTAATACTAACATTGACATGTAAAAAGGGTCTATCACTATGTCTGTTGGGGATAAATTTGCTTATTTGAATATGTATGAACAAATGAAACAACTGCATGAATATTACTCGATGTGTGATGTTAATTTTGTTGATGGGTTGTTCATTGATGAGCTTCATAATGTTAATAAAATGCATGTCTCATCCCCTACTCCTGACTCTGCTTCCCCCTTTCTTTCTAATGGTAGTGATGTGGGCTGTTCTACTGTTCATCAGTTAGATTACACCTTTTCTACTCTATCTGGTTCTACTATTACTAATAGTACACTTGGGAAGTCTTTTACTAACCTCTTTGAGCCTAAGAAAGGCTTTGTTTCTGATGTTAATATAGGTGGTAGTAGAGCTGCAAAGACTTCTAAGAAAAAGAAGTGCTTGAATCTTGTCGGGGAGCTGCGTGTCCTAAATGCTGTGCATAGACCAGTAACAACTCCACTTGCTCTCCACTCTACCGTCTCGACACCCTCAACTAAGAAAACTAATCAAAAGATAGTGGTTGCTTCTATGGAGAGTAAGAAAGTGGATTCTGAGGAAGAGAGCAAAGAGCCTACATCTCTTAGGCTCTTTTCTAAGGTGAAGAAGAAGAAAATTAAGATACCTTCTGCCACTTTACCTCCCCTCTCCATTGACCACTACACAGTCATTGATCTAGTCTATGAAGACCCTTTCCTATTAACTCCTAAGGAGGCTATGAAGATTGAAGCTGGTGCTAAGGCATAGGGCCTGCTGTCCACTTATTATATGCCAAAAGCTGAAAAAAGGGCTAGATGGATTGGACCTTTTGAAGTTCATTCAATATGCCAGCATAGGAAGGTTGTAATGAGGGATGCTAAAGGCCGGTTCTTCCAAGTAAAAAAGGAGCACCTTCGTTTCTTCAAGGAGAGCTATTAGCCTCCATGACACCTTAGGTCGCTTCTTTCCTTTACCTATCTTGTTCACTATGTTCTGTTTTGTTTTGACTGATTTGATTATTGCATGTGTTAGTGAGATAAGTGTGGGGAAGGGAGCCAACTAGTAGGAAAAGTAGTTTAGCTTATTTTAGGTTGTAGTTTTTCAATTCAATAATTTTCTCCTCTTGCTGTTCTTGTCTTATGTCCATCCTTCCTTATGCTTAATTGTTTGCTTAGTCATGCAGTGAGGGCATTGCCATGCTTATGTGTGGTTGGTGTTATTTGTTTTAATTATGGTGGTTGTTGTTCTTTTTCCCTTTCCCTTTGACAGTGAGGACACTATCAAACCTAAGTGTGGGGAAGGGATTCATTTTCGCTTTGTTGCATCATTTCTGTGGTTGTTTCAGATTTTTGGCAAATTTTTTTTCGAAAATCCAATCTTTCATCATCATTATTTGGTTTTTAATTGATTATGGATGGTGAATTGTTATGTATTGGATCATTTTTGTCTATTTTGATGCTTACTAAAAGGGTTTTTACTTGTTAAATGTTGGCCAAGCTTTGAAAATTTTTGTTGGTAGTTTCTATGACCTCAGGTCGCGACCTCACTACTTCAGGTCGCAACTTGAGTAGTGACTTTGGCATTGGAGGCTCTCTGTGATTTCAGGTCGTGACCTTGATAATTTTAAGTCACGACCATAACCCCCCTTTCTTGACTTGGTACTTCTGTGTACCCAAGTCGTGACCTCATTATTTTTAGATCGCAACCTAGCCTCTTTTGTTGTGCATCGCTATCCTTCTCTTTGCTTTTTGCAATGCTGTGTAGGAGAAACCTTTTAAGCTACCTTTGTATCTTTTTCAAGCAAACCATTGCTCTTTTTATATACCTTCATTGCATTAAACAGTTTTTCTTAAAAACTGTAACATCCAGACTTTTAGGCCTAGAAGTTCCAGAAATAGCCTAAATTAAATAGGTTACCAGACCCCTTTTTAGCAGAAGTCCCAAAGATGAGAAAGAAAGTCAAAGTAGTTTCAGGGACTAAACTGCAAAGTAAAAGTTTTAAGGGGCTAAAGTGTAATAAAGTTAGAGGCTCCAGTAAAGTCTCGAAGGCCCAAAGAGAGAAAAGAGACTAGATATAGGCCAAAGGTTGAGTTAGAAGCCTCAAAGAGAGGATTATATGAAGTTAAGTCCAACCAGGGACTAAACTGTAAATTCTAAAAGTTATGACCAACAGGGGGAAAAATGGAAGAGGGTACAGAAAATTCTAAGAAAAATCCTAAAAAATGGGAAATAATATTCTAAGACTCTTCTATGAAGAGGAAAGATGAAAATACCCCTGAGAAAGATGAAAATACCCCTGAAAATACCGTTTGAGGTAATTATTTAAAATAGCAAGAGACCTCAAAAATGTATACAAAAATGAGGTTAAATGGTTGAAAGGTTGTACTAATTTATAAAATTAGTCCCGCAACCAAAAGGCCAGTAGAGTGGCTTTAATAAATTAAAGAGCCGGTTTTGCCGATAAAAGGGTATTTTGGTAAATGAATTTTTATGCAAGGTTTAAAGGAAGTGTTATGGCCTAAGAAAATTCATAGATATTTTCTAGAATTAAATGGAATTTATAAAGTAGACAGAATAATTTTTTGAGCTCTGAAAGGCCATAAAGAAAGCCGGAGAAACGTGGGCCAAGTAAATTCGGAGGAAGCTTATGAAACAAGTTTGATCCAACGGTTAGGATCTAATCTCCCATCTCCTCCACCACTTTCATGACACTTGGCATCTTCTAGAAGGTTGAGGTAAGAATGATGTAATAAGATGATGCAATGATGATGCAAAAGTCCACTTGAACTTCCAAATTTGCCCTTACCCTTTCTATTAGCCACCAAGGGCATTTTGGTCCATTCAAGCCAACTTTTTTGGCTATAAATAGAGCCTCTTCCCCTTCATATTTTCAGCCAACATGAGTTTAAGAGGGGAAACTCTGCCAAAATTTAGAGAGAAAAACGTAGGGGTGAAGGCCAAGAAGAAGGAACAAAGTTCAAGCTTCAAAATCAAGGTATGTGGTGGCTGTAGCATCTGATTTTATACCTATTTCGAATTAGTTACTGTACGTATTTGATTCTGAAATTTTTCATGCTTAAAGTACACTCTATGAGCTTTAAATCCATGGGTAGAACACTTTATTTGGATATGTGTACGATTTATGGTGATTTTTCAAAGTTAGGGTTTGAAATCTGGAAACAGTGTTGAACTTTTGAGAGATTGTCGAGTTCCGTACAATTCTGGTACTGTTCTGAGTAGAATTGGTTCCTGAAACTATTTTTCCTTTAAATTTAACTTAATTAGATTTCAGTGAGACTTGGAAGCACTCAATTTGGAGTTTTCTAGATTTAATTATGAATTTTCAAAGTTGAGCAAAAATTCTGGAGATTCTGCGTGAACAGTACCCGCGAACCAAAATTTCCAGATTTGATATTCTTGAATCTAAAGCCATCTAAAGTGGTCCTAATTGATAGGAAATAGATCATAAGGATGGAAAATGATGAGATTTAGGTTAGAAAAGCTAGAAAGAAAACCCTAAGTCTAAGTGAAAGGGTTGAGGTTCAAGAAAGCTAGTCTTGAACTTTATGTAATCTAATGGTCTTAATGGATTGTGTCATCATTATGGTTATGTTTAGGATCTTTGGAACATCCAAGAGGATGTTTAGTGATGTTGATTGAATGCCCACATGGTTGGAAAGTCAAGGGAGTCAAAGGAAAAGTAAGAGGAAAGCTTGAGGTGCAAGGTAGTGAACTTACCTATTGTCATTGCTTGATGTGGTATGCTTGTGTGTTGCCGTGTACATGTTATTTGCATGTTGTTGTGACATGTTTTAGCTGCTATAATTGCTATTCATGATGAGTAGATTATGTCTCCATGGCCATGCATCAAGAAGTTAGCTTTGAGCATGCTAGTATGTCACTAATTAACAAGAGAATAAACAAGTTGCGTGTAGTGCATTAGCATCCATCTAGCATGATTATGTGGTATTGTTTGCTACTGAGATTCCCTTGAATCTCACCCCCTTCCTAACCAACCATTTAGGTCAATCAATGGTGGGCACTAATGGCATGAGAAGCAAGGAGAAGAAGTGGAGAGTTATTGATGCTAATGATTGATATTATTATTCAATGTATAATTCTCCTATGTTATGACTTATGTTATGAATGCCATCAATTCAATGTATGTGCTAAGGATGTTTATGGCATGAATGAAAGTATATGAGTATGAATGAGAAAGATTAAGCTCATGCTATGTATGTCAAAGAAATAAAAAGAATTAAAGTAAGGAGCTATTAAAGGATAAAACGTAGGTCCTGAAGCAGTTAGTTTTGAGCTTCAGTTTGACCTATCAAATGAATGAGTTAAATCCACGAGATTTGGCAGACTTATAGTGCACATCCCAAGCTTCAAAATGAGTAGTAAATCACCTCATTTGGATGTGTATACAAAGAGATATGAGTTTTCAAAGTTAAGGCGCAGAATCTGGAGAGTCCAGATTTTACCAAACGAATAGTAATCTTAATCCAATAAACTGTACGTTTTCAATGAGGATGAGTTCAGTTGAATATTTTTCCCTTAAAGAGCATTGAAAGAGCTTTCTGTAGAATTTTGGAACACCTCCATACGATATTTCTAGAATTAGTTATGATTTTTTTAAAGTTGGACCTGTAATCTGAAAACTGGACAGTGAACAGTAATTTTCCGAAAATTAACGTCCAAATTGAAATTTTTAAGCTTAAGACCATCCAAAGTGGTCTGGAATGGTTCTAAATGAATGCTAAGGTATTATATAAGTAAGGTGTGACAAAAACCATGCCATCCTTGGACTTTTACGAGCACTGATTTTGAAAATGATTTTTCTAAAGACTCTATAGTCACTTTGAGATTCAAGTATATTCTTAAGTGATTATTTTGATCTTTTTAATCCTCATCTTATGGGTTGCTTTTGTGATAAGTGTCTTAATGTCTTATGACTAATGCATATTGATTGAAACTTCTTGTATGAGCAATGGAGATGTGAAACCCTTTTTGGAAGGATATTCTTGAGCTTTAAT